CAAATGCGATACATGAAAAACAAATTATTGGATGAAATTTTAAAAAGATTGATAAATCATTTTAATTAAAACAAATAGTAATATAAAAGATGAATCAAATATGAAGGAAAAAAACGAACATTTTGTTTAAAAAATTTAAAAAGTAAACATGGAAATTGAGATGAAGAGAGCAAACAAAAAAAAATTGATGAAACTAGACTAGATGTTCATTGGTAACACACACCATGTAAGGATGGAGTTGCCACCAAGATGATTTGATCATACCCAAAAAGCTACCATTAGGTCACTACAAAACGTGTTACACATCGCCTAAATGGCGTAAACATTTCTCACTCGATGTAGCATTTGCTAATGCCCTAACCAATTTTTTTTTAATAAATATTATATATTTGTTAAAATATCATACCACTCCTCTCTTAACTTCATTACATAACCAAAAAATCATGTTGAAAAGATAAAAATGTCTCTACACTTCAACCTAATAAGTTTTAATTTAAAGGGTAAGTTTATTATTTTACCTCGTGACCACAAATTATTCACTAAGTCTATAAGTTCTCATGTGCTTGCAGCACAGTCAATTTCCACTATTGCTGCTAATATTGCAGATATCAGTGATACTCGCATTAGTTTAACTAAGGATCAATACAATCAACTCATGACTCTTCTTCCACCAGAGGCATCTATCACTGCTTAGATCTTATAGTAACTCCATACACCTCCCACTCCTCATATCTTTAGTATACACTATTGTTTAAATGCTCACACACATACTACATTTTCTTCCCATCATATACCTTGGATCATTGACACAGGCGCAACAAACCATATGGTCTGCTGCCTCTTTTTTTCACTACTATTGACTCTACTGCCTCTCATCCTGTTGCATTGTCAATTGGAACACATGTTCCTGCTACACACACTGGCACCATCCAGTTAACTCCCTTTATTTGCCTCACAAGTTTTATGTATCTCTTCTTTTAATTTTAAGTTGATCTCCATCAAAAAAGCTGACAACTAATCTTACATGTTCTATCATCTTTCTCTCTAATTTTTGTGTTATTCAGGGCCTTTTATCTTGGATAATGATTAGGAAAGGTAAAGTGAGGAATGGACTCTATCATTTTGTTAACACCAATGTCTCCCCTTCTCTCCTGGCCAATACATTATCTCATTTTTCTACAAACTCTGTTGCAGCTTCTGTTTCACATCAGCACACTACTGTCAATTTATGGCACTATGTCTAGGACATCCATCCTCCCTTGTTATGTCTTTAATCATAGACTCTGTAGTCAAGAACAACATCTCAAATATTAGTAAACAACCTTGTTACGTTTATCCCTTCGTAAAATTTAATCGACTGCTTTTTTTCTATAGCAAGCAGCATGCCTCACAACCTTTTGAAATTGTATATTACGATCTTTAGGGGCCATGTTCCATGCCTTCCTATGATGGTTTCAAATATTTTCTGACCTTGGTCGATTGTTTCACTCATAGTACATGGCTTTACCTCTTTCCCACTAAAGCTAACACTAAACATAACATAGAATCCTTTGCCAACTTAGTTGAAAACCAATTTAGTTATAGGATTAAAATTTTATGTAGTGATAATAATGGGGAATTCCACATGAAAGAGTTCTTCCATACCAAAAGCATTATTCACCAAACTAGTTGTGGCGAAACACCTTAACAAAATGGGATTGTGCAGCGCAAACACCAGCACCTACTTAATGCTGCCTAAGCTTTAAGATATCAAGCCAATCTCCCTCTTTAATATTGGAGTGACTGTGTCTTGACTACCACATACCTCACTAATCGCACACCTAGCCCCTTGCTTAAAAACAGAACACCATTTGAACTCTTATTCAACAAATCACCCACTTAGGCACATTTAAAAGTCTTCGGTTCTTTTTGTTTTGCTTCCACTCTCTCCTGCTAGGGAAAAAAAAATTAATTCTCATGGTCACATTTATGTTTTTCTTAGATATCCTTTTGGCACAAAAGGCTACAAATTACTTGTTCTCCAAAACAATACCATCTTTGTATCTAGGAATGTCACCTTTCCCATTTCAATCTTTACCTCACCTCTCCATTGATACATCTGATAGTACAACCTGTGTTTTCACTAAGCCTTTACCTAACACTCTAGATTTTCTTATCATCCTTCTCAACTTGCGCCTAATGATTTAGCTCCTTCCAACATACTTGTGTCTCTCCACAAGATAAACTCACCAGCCGTAAATGATTTGTTTTATTTTTCAAATAAAAAATGGATAACATGTTAATCTCTCTTAAGAAAAAAATAAAAATAAAAAGTCAAGCAATCAAGTTGGATGGGTTTACCATGTTTAACCCTGGTCAATTCAATATATTGTCATTCTTGTATTTTTATTTTATTAAAAAAATTTAAATTAGTGTTGTTTAAATTTTTTTGTTTAAAAAGGTTAAAAGAGATTTTAGTGGGGCCAAGCGAGTTGTTAGGTCAATAAGCTTAGTTGAGTTAAATAATATTATAAAAAAATTAGAAGAGTAGCCAATGAGCCACTAGCTAGTTAGAAGAAACTTAAAGAGGCGTGGTTAAAATATTATTCACCTTGCCACTATTTATACAAACATATATTATGCAAATTACTACAATGATTTTTTTTTTTTATCATGCTTGATCTTTTATTTTGTTTGGAACAACCACACTCTTATAAGCCCAAATTGAAGCAAATTTGTTGAGGAATAGTAAAATGTAAAATTAGAGGAGTAAAGTGAAAAAAGACAGAAAAAAATAATGGTTGTTTTAAACTTGGAGTAAAAGGTTCACTTTGATCCTCTTACTTTTCAAATAACAAATTTTAGGAACCTTTGGTTTTCTTACATTCTATTTTTTTTATCATAATTCTTGTTTTTTCTTATTTTTTAGTCTTTAATTTGATAGAGGAGACAAAAGGTAGTTTGATTCCATTAGCAAAGAAATTTTCGGTTGAAACTGATTTTGACAATGAAAATGGTCAATTTTGTTGTTAATGAATTTCATTTAATGAAGCGAGATTCATTATCATGTTTTGTTTTTATTAAACGGCTTTTATTAAAAAACAAATAGACCAAACTCGAGAGAAGATTTTGTTTAGGTATTGGATTTGTATTTTTAGACAAGTTTTAGGGCTTTTGGGTTTTTTTATTGGTTTATTTGCATTATAAGAATGTTCGTAGCATGTTTTAGTGTGTAAATTGGTTAGAAATTACATTTTAGATAACAAAAGAAAAAAGAACACCCTATCTTATTTTGAATCAACTCTTTAGTGGTTAAAAAATAGAAAAGTCAAACAAATCTTCTACCAGCAGCACAAATGAGTCGTCTGCTTTTATTTTTTTTCAAAAAAATTAGGGTTGATAACATATCTACTACATTTTCAAATTAAAAAAAAAAAATTAAACACTCAAACAAGTGTTTGGCCTCTTTTTATTTTCTTTAGTTTTGTTTTGTGCTTAGTTCATACTTTTTTATGCTTTTTTTTTGTTTGATTTATTTTTTTTATTTATATTTGAACTAATACCACCCTCTCTTATTTTTTAGATTGTTTATTTTATCATTTTTAAATAATGATTATTATTATTATTATTATTATTATTGTGTATTTAATGTTTTGAAGAGATTGTTTTAATTTATCTATTTTTTCATTTATATTTTATATAAATAAACTTTATTTTGATGATATATTTATAAAAATAAAAATTAGTTATTCTCGGAAAGAAAAGGTGACTTTTAGGACAAAAAGAAATCATGTAATTAGTTATTCTCGGAAAGAAAAGGTGACCTTTAGGACAAAAAGAAATCATGTACATAAAAGAAAAAATCAGGGTTATATATATATATATATATATATATATATTATCTTATTTTTATAAAAATAATTTTTTTTTATTTTAGAATTTGATTGGTATTAATAACTCTCTCATTTTACTCAACCATACATTTTAGAATTTATTTCATTTAGTATCTTTATGTTTTTCAATTCAGAAAATTACGGTACAGTGAAACGTACTGTACTCGTAGAGCATTATTATCCTACATGCAATATGTTAACCAATTTATTTATTTATTTATTTATTAGTATCAATATGTTAACCAATTTATTTATTTATTTATTAGTACAAATAATTATTAAGCATTCAAATTTTGGTTTCTAGTTATTTATGTACGAACCAATCACCGGTCTAAGTACGAACCAAGTTAAAGAGTGCTTTTTGTTTGCTTTGTTCTCGTTTTGTATTCAAACTGAAAATAATAGTCTTAATTTGATCACTCTGCCACACGTGAGTTAGAAAGGAGACACTGACACTGACCAAACCCGGTTTGGTTTGGTTTGTTGGGTGGCTAACTTCTCGCAAGCAGCTGGGCTTTCTTTCTTTCAATTTCTCTTGCTTTTAATTTTGTCGTCCTTTGTTTTTTTGCTTATATCCAAAGATGTCCTGTTGTTATGGGGAGCAGGTGCTCCCAGTCTTTAATGCGAACACCTTATGGCAATTGTGGGCGACGTTGTCCTAAGAGTTTGTTTGATAACGTTATAGTTGAGGATATTTTTAGATTTATTTTTATTGTTCATATATACTTTTGATCTTGTGTTACTGTAAAATCTGGAAATTAAAAAAAAAAAAATACTCGGACAGGCACAGAGACAACCATTGGAAAATGAAAGGTGCCGCCGGCCGATCCTTTTTTCCTTTTCCCAGGTACGTAGTAGCTAGTTTACTATACCAGGAAACACCGCAGAATGATTTTAAAATGCGTTTTTTTTAAATAATTTTTTTACTAATAATAATTTTTTATTTAAAAAAAATATTTTTAACATTAATATATTAAAATAATTTAAAAACACTAAAAATTAATTTTGAAGTAAATAAATAATATACATTTTTTTTAAATATTTTTACAACCCACAAACAAACAAACAGTACGTAAAGTTTACTTTGATATTTCTCTGGAAAGAACCAAAAAGGAAACTGTACCGGCACTCGTAATCAAACGCAACACAACCTTTTCAGTTCCAGAGTAAACGAAGAGATCATATAGAGATGTGATAGAGAGAGAAGGGAGCTAAATGAAAGCAAACCAGGAAATCAACTCGAACATAATCGGCTAACTTAAAGATCTGTTAAGAGGATAACAACGAATTATGCGTTAATTAAGTAAAAATTTTGTAGTCAATAACACAGGCGACAGGCAGCTCGTTAGACATCTTTAACTTGGATAACAGCATGTGGACGTTGCACCAGGAGAAGACCTCAAGCATTCCTGAACCTAGCTGCGAAGGCACTCATAAGATCTGGGTACTGAAAAATGTCTTCCATAAAGGAGTCCTGACCCACTGCAAGATTGAGTGACATCTCATTATCGTATGATACTTGGTCAAGACAACTAACCCCAGTACGGTAACAGCCCTCAGGCTGCCCTGATGACTTTATTCCTTCATGATCAAGATAAGCACCATGGTGCTCATTTTTAACGAAGTACTTCGTGCTCCTTCTCAATCCATCTAGCGACTGACCACCAGATATTATTTCAGCTGATGGTGCAACCATTGACTCTCCATAGCTTTTTGAAAAGTCAATCTTTTCAGTGGAGTGCTTAGGCAAAAACCCTTGAATAATTTCTTGCAACAAACCAGAGCCAGATGGTTCTTGTGGAAAGAATTCCAACTCTTCAGCTTTTGAGTTGGGACTGTTCAGGACTCCAGGAGTATAATTCTGATTAAACTCCATGTAGGGTAGACTAGTGACAGTTGAGTCTTCTGCCAAAGTTCCAGAGAAATTATATGGACCGGTACTACTGATGTTACTAGAAGGGTTCGCCAAGGAACCAACAGCGAAAGTACTAGGACCAGAATAGGAGGACCCATTGATGCAGGGAAAGTGATCATATAAAGGTTGAGAATGATTTTGAGACGACGAACCTGAAGAGGAGTTTACGAAATCACGGAGAAAAAGCATGTTCAGAGTAGAAGTGTTAGCGGAAGTGCCACTAGTACTCTTCTGTGGAGCAGACCCACCAGCAGAGAAGTCACCCACATGAGAGTGACCTAGAGAAGACCAATTTGAAGAGGGCACTGTATTATACTGGCGAGAGGGCTGATGATGAGATGATTTTGAGAAAGTAAATGGAGGGAGCAAATTATGGGAGTCAGTTGTTGCAGAATAAGTCTCAGGGTACACAAAATTAGTACGAGCCTTGATACCTCGCATTACTCGAGCTGCATAGTCATAGGCACAAGCAGCCTCCTCAGCAGTGTCAAAAGTGCCAAGCCAACGCCGTTCCTTAGACTGAGGATCCCTTATCTCGGCTGCATAACGACCCCATGGCCTCCTACGGACGCCACGGTACCTCATGTTTCCACTATTGCCACCACCTTCTTTCAGTGACCTTTTGTTTGTTGTGGTGGTAGGCGCGGACTTCTTCTGCATGTCGGCGATTATGGGTTCGTACGAGTTGGATTCTGGCATATGGCTCGGCACTCCGTTGAGTCTTCTAAGTGCTTCTTCCATACTTTTGGAACTGGAGGATTTGTAAAGATAGGTTCTTTACAAATGAAATAGAACAAGAACAACAAGCTAGACCGGAAGGAAGAGATGTGATTTCGGCGATTTCAAGACTGAGTTTGGCACCTGGACTCTGGGGTTGCATCCTGTATTTATAGCTGGAGATGACTCTCAAATATAGAGATATGGGGGTCTTGAAAACTGAAGTGACAGAACTCGTGCATGGGGCAACATAAAATTGATACAAGAAAAAAATAAAAAAACAAAAATGAAAGAAGCTAGGGTGCAAAAGATACTATGTGATGCCTGGTGAGTAAAAAAACTGGAAGTGACTAGGATTTTTTACTGGTCCAACCGTCCTCGAATCAAACGACTTTGAACTTTTTCCGAGTTTCCTTTTTAAAAAAAGTTATTTCACTTTTATTATAATTACAATTTTAAAAAAACTCAGAGGTGTGGGAAAATTATTTCTCTCAGTATTGATGATGAATTGGCGCTCTCTTTTTTTCTTCATTTTAATTATCAATCTTTTTCTCTAAAAAATAATCATGTTGTGGCCAAAGGCGCAAAATGTTTGTTAATTCTTTCTGATTTATTAAAAAATAACAAGATTAAAAAAAATGATTAAAATAAAAAGAAAAGAAAATGGAATGGCTTTTTTCAAAAAAAATAGCACAAAATATTAACTTTAGCCCTCAAACTTTTAAATTAATAATTTTTTTATCACTCCAGTTTTTGAAAATTCACTTTTGATCTAATATTCTATTTTCCTCATTTTCTTAGATCCGAGACTTGTCAGATTCTAATGGTAGTAAAAAATCATTGATTGACATCGCTTATAATTATAAAAAATTTATTTTAGTGTCAACAAGTTTCAATTGTGGAGAAGAGTTATGCTGTAATATTTTTTGAACTCTATATTTTCTAAGAAAAGTAGATCTAATCTCCATGAGTTTTTAAATTCGAGTTGATTTATTTAATTCATAATTAATTTTTAATGTATTTGAAGTTATTGATGAGTTTATTTAGGTCTATATGTTTTCTTAGGTGTATTTAAAAAAAAATATAGGCTGAAAAATAAATTTTGGATATAAAATATTCATGCTCCACCTTTTTTATGACTTTTCAATTGTTAGATTTTGAAGCAGCAAATGACACATAAAAGGATGGACGATACAAAAATAAAATAAAATGAAGAGGCCTAACATGCAAGCTAGACCTTCTCATTTTGGTAGCATGTTGGGTCGTCCAAACCTAGTCACTTGCCTCTTGTTTAAGAAGTCCATTAGTTTTTTTTCTTTGCTTTTTTTTTAATTCAATTTTATTTCAATAAATAATTATATAGGTTACTCCAATTTTATAACTCAAGTTTTGAATTTTACTGGTTAGTGAGATTGATTAGAGAGTAGGCTTTTTTTACTTGTTTTCTATAAGACTATTTCGATCTCATAGCTCAGATCACAATTTAACGGATTAATTCGAATTAAATTTTTTAATCTATTTTTTTTTCAATTGCATTTTTTAACATTGGATTAATTAAAGGTTGAACTTCATAATCTACTTTTATTTATCTTTTACGGACCATTCAAATGATCTGGATTACGAGTTTAAAAGGTTAATCTAAGTTGAATCCAGTTTAAAAATTATTTTTTTTCTTATTTTGTTTTTATCTTTTAACATTAAATTAATTAAGATTATGTTTCATAATTTTTTTTTATAAATTATCATAGTTTCCTTATGTAGATCATGAATTCAGTAGATTAACATTGATTGTCTCAAGTTAATCAAAGATGTTATCATTTTAATATTTTTTTAAAATATAATATTTGATTTTTGAATTAGTCACTTTATATTTTTATTGGTTATTTAGATTATTTTTAAACTCATCCATATCTACTAGGCAATATCAAGTTAATCCATATATAAATTGAAATATCTTTTTATTAAAAAATATGTTAACAATATTTTTTTCTAATTTTAAAAAATTGATTTTACCACACCTTAATGAAGGTCAGTAATCTAATTTTAACACATGAAACACGGTATATGCAGGAGATTAGTCATAAAAGAAAATAAAAGTGTTTAGATTAGAAGCTAAACTAACATATAGCTATGAATTATCAAGATTACATAAAATTCTCAAACCTAATTTGAAAATGAATACGACAAGCACCATGAAAATTAAAGATTATTGCAAGACAAGAATTACCAAACATAATTTAAACATGAAAATTAACTATTGAATTTGTAAACAATAAAATATGGTTTTGTTGGGACAATAATTATTTTTATTGTATTTTTTATTTAAAAATATATTATTTTTTTTTTATTTTAATTAGTACATCAAAATAATTTAAAAATATTAAAAATAAAGTAATTGAAAGTAAAAAAATAAAAAAGTAATTTGTTTTCAAAAAAAAAACTTTAAAACAGGTTCTAAAATTAAAGCTAAACTGTTGAAGATAAAATTTCTTATTCTGATTTTACCATTTATTATTCCTTTTTCTTGCCGGGATGTGAACATTAAATTTTGTACTCCCTATCTTTGTATTCTGGACCACCCTCCTCCGTGGAAGGACACTTTTAAAGATGAGGGGGTGTTGCCATTGCTTGGTCATATTTATTTTCAGAAAAGTAATTTGTTAACATTGAAAGTTAAGTAGCCAGAATTACTTAGTGTAATCTATAATAAATAATATACTCTAAGAAAAAAAAATGTAAATGCGATAATCTCTTCTTAATTTCGTTTTTTTCCCCTTTGGATCTAGCTGATGGGACAATTTACCTGCACTAGATATAAACGTCACCTTTTGTTTTGGAAAATGTATTATAGTCCTAATTTACTTTAGTTAATTAAGACTTTAATTAGCAAAATGCATTAGATGCTGGCAATGTGCCAAATTGTCAACTCTGCACCTATGCCAGCTATCAACTCTGATGCAAAGTAATTGTCTTCGACTATTTCCAAGAGCAATAAAGAGCAGAGTGTGATCGAAAACAGTGAAAATTTTGATTGTCTTTTTGGGTTCGTGAGAAACTGATAATAGATAGTAATTGATTCAGTTTGAAGATAACTATTAGGAGTAATGATTTGAGTGTTCATTGCAAGGATTTTCTTTGCTTTTCTTTTTAATTTCTATCACCTTGTGTAGAATTGGCGTGCTGTGGGAATTTTGAAGAGGAAAAAACACACGCACGTATGTATGTGTGTCTCTGTGTGTGTGCGTGTGTGTTTCCATCAACCATGTAGTGATAAAGGAGTCTGGTGTTTACAGGCAAGGGAGGTAAAGCTGCTAATTATGTGATCTCGAAACTTTTCTAGGAAGTTGAAGAAACACGCTCTGGTCCTTGTAATTATCATTTTGAATGATTACACTGGCGGCGCTCAGAAGTTGTTTCTCCCACTTTGGTTTCTGTTTCTTTGTTCTCTCCTTAAATTTAATATTTGCTGGCATCTGTTTGCAATTTTCATGGCTGTTTTGCGCTGGTATTAGGGTTTCAAAAACCAAGGATTTATGGTCACATGGACTTGTCTGTCTTGTGTAGGCGTGTTTAATAGGGTATTTAAGGGATGAGTTTTAGGGTTCTGTTGGCAGATGGAGACTAAAGTTGTTGTGGGGTTGTACCTCAAGTCAGAAAAAGTGGTGGCGATGTCTCCTAATTAACAAAAAGTTAACCTCCTCCGCTACTTACCTCCGTCGTTCCTCTAACTTATCCTTCCATCGCAACTATAAAATTCTCTCGTCTTTTTGTAACCTCACAAATTCAGCAGATTAATCATCAACTCAAAGACTAGCGACAAAAGTTAAAACCTTTCTGAACAAGGAGAGAGTGTACAGTGTACAACACTGCATGCATGCATGCATGCATATATATCCACGCCAAATCCTTAATGCTTCATGCGTTTACGATAATGAAGATGGGATGGTAGCCAGCTGATGAGAATTACCTTTTTTTTTAATAAAAAAATTGATTGATGTTCTCTTTATTGAGTGAGGAATATAGGTATATATATTGTTGTTCTTACTTTTCTTAAAAAAAAAAATATTACTCCTTTTCAATTGTTAGTCAAAATCCATCAAGCGTAATTACAAAAAAAAATAATTTCTCTAACATTATTACGAGTTTGACCTCATATCTATTGAATAAACTTAATACACTTCAATTTCATCTCATATAATATCTCATGCAAAAAAAATTAAGCACTAGAAATGTACTTTTTAAAAGAAAAGGAATACACGTAACAAGTCTTCACAATATGTCATATTAGTGTCAATCTTATTCTTTAAATTAAATGAAGTTTTAAGATTTTTTTTAGATGATTTTCTCTTAGCTGAATTTATTTTATTAATGCCAATAATACATAGTAGTCTTATATAGTTGTCTAAAAATATCAACCATTAAATTCATGAGATTTAGTAATGAAATTCATTTATTTAATGTATAAAATACCTATATGATAGTTGTTAATTTTTTATATAATTGAATTATATAAGATTATTATTAAGATTAACACTATTCTTTTTATATATTTCATATTTAATAAAACATATTTTATTAAATATACTTTCAAATTAATGTCTGACTATTTTCATGATCATTTACCACATAAAATATGGGCTGCTTGTTTCAATTTTATCTCTTTGAAAGGTTTATAAAAACAAACTTACTTTATGCTTTTATAAATAGTATATACCAAATAAGTTTATATTAATTTGGTATTAGAGCAGCATTATAGGACAGAACCTGATCATGAGAGAAAAGAAGTTGCAGTTTCCTAAAAAAGAAAAGAGAGAAAAATCTAAAAAGAAAAGAGATAATTGAAGAAGGGCAACTGAAAATAATTTCTTTTAACCAACAATTCATGAGTTTGATGGTCTTTGCCTTCATTAGTCCATGCTTATGAAAAGTTTTCTTCATTCGAAGAAGTATTAGAGTTTGACAGAGAATGGAATCTCTACTACATTAAAAGGTGTTGAACTTAATGGAAGGACAACAAAAATCAATTATAGAACAAGAGCTAAAAGACTTGAAAGTCAAGAATTATTTGCTTCAAGCCATTGATCTAACCATTATGAAGACCATCCTCAATAAAGACATTGTCAAGCATATCTAGGACTCTACAAAACATAAGTACTAAGGTTCTATGAGAGTCACAACTTC